GTATGATGACCTCCCTTGAATTCCAACACACATGTCCGCTGCGCATGAGTCGAAGTGCTCCGGAAAATATCCGATATCCTCACCCGAGCTCGAAGTTTCTTCTTTTCTAGCCCTGCGATCTCGGGGCCTCGCGAACACTTGATGAAAATTCGATCTTCTTAGAGATTTTTTCCTGCAAATTCTGGAGCAGCGATGGAGGGCTCAAAGTTTTTCAGCCCTCCTCATCCCGCCCTACTAGTTTTCTATCGAGTAAGGGGTGAGCGTCCGAATCCTCCAAAATGGCCGGCGACGATGAGTATGAAGACGAAGAAGAGGGCGATTCAACTTCAAAGCGCCCCAGGAGTCTTTCCAGAATTCCATTCTGGCAGAAACGTATGTTGAAGAAGCATGTGTAATTGATAAGAGCAGCGTTATATAATTGCTTATTTTACTAGACAACGTAGTTGTTGAAGAAAATATTTATTGTATTAGCTGCAATTATCAATTACAACAACCCACCCGCTGCACTTCCTAGCCCATGCTTTGACTATGTTTCCCAGGCATAATAAATCTCTTTCAGATCGAATGCCTCCAAAACCCAGTCGCCGCGTCCCGCTCGAGCGTGCCGGAGCAGCAGGAGCGGTCGGAGAAAGGGATCAAAAAGAGATAATTGAGCCTTCGGTTCAAGCGGAAGCGTTGCTAACACTATTTTCGTATTATTGTTGTTTTAACCTCACGCTCGATAAAGATATGCGGGCGATTTGTTGGATACACGCAACCAGTTGCTCCCTCTAAAAGGCAACTGGAGTGTCCGATCCTTTCCGTTGGCACACGTTGGCATTTGGCGGGAAAAGATCAAACATTCAATAATGGAGATCAACTAGAAAAGACAGGAGCTGGATGGGCAAGAGCATGTGTAATTGATAATCGCAGTTAATATAATAAATACGTTACTTCAACAACGCGTTGTCTAGTAAAATAAGCAGTTTCCTGTCATGAGTTCAGTTTTCACACCGTGTTTTCCGCTTTTTTTCTCACTGTTAGAGTACTAGCATTGGATGACGCAAAGGAACGAGCAGTGTGCCAAAGGCGGTAGGATATCCCCTTTCTGGCATAAGCGAGGTCTGGAGAACTAGTCCAGAGACTGCCAGGTGATCACTTACAAGGGAGGTGTTTCAGGTCATGACGCGCTTTTTGGAAATGGTTTATTGCTTGTTGTAGGGGTCCATACAAGGGTCACAAAAATGGATTTCATTTTTGCTATGCGTTTCTGGGTAGGTCAAAAACTCACTGAAAAGAATTTGACAAGAATGGGCGGATTTAACAACCTTAAAGGGCTCCTTTCTGCTTGTAACTTCGAGCAGTTTATGAGGTGGTCACTAATTAGGCCTCAAAATAGATTCGATTAAAGTCAAAATGTAAGTATCATGTGGTAACACACTTGGCATGCAGAGACGCAAGAGTGATGTTTTTGTCAACGCTCCCTTCATGGCCATTGCTGGCGGATCGGATGGCGTAGCGGATAGCACGATGGATTCTGTATGGCACGACAATGCGGGACTCAGTTCGGATCCTCACTGCGGCAACAGTTTTACATCTGTATCAACGCAACGAGACGTGAACATTTCCGGAAACAAGGTTCTCCACACAACTGTGCTGCGTTTGTAAGGTGTCATTCAGGAAAGGCCAATAGGACAGCCTGGCCATTGCAATGAGTGCATATCATTGTACTCATCTTGGCACAATGAACTCGAAACTACTTTAAAATTTGCGGAACGATTCTCTGAGCGGACTTATATAGGTTTTCCTTCGCTAATTTTCTTCTTGCGGGTGGCTGGCACAGTGAATTTGCACCTGTAGCGCGACTCACAAGCTATCTCCGTGCGAAATAGATATCATATTCGTGTTCAGGGGTCAAAAACCACTAGAAAAGAAACCTTGAGGAAATCCGAGGTTCTGACTCAACTTCGAAAAAATGAGGTAGAGATGGTCGCGCCTGGATGATAGCCAATAATCCGACTAGCATACTGGTGACGACTGGTCTTTGCACTGAAATAACCCTTCAGTCATGTCTTTTCGCAAAGAACAATACCTGGCTCACTTGTATGAGCCGCCTGCATCATTTTCCTGATTAGCGGTGGAAAATACCATCCCAAGACCAGTCATCCATGGTGGGTGGACCCCGCCTGCTGCCAAATGTCCATAGAATGGCCCACATTTCCAAGTAAGGTCGAAACGTCAGACTTGGCTAGACATTAGTCCCCAGGGTAATCCAACCCGCTGAACATAAATGTGATGGTATTTCATTGCAATAACCCTTCTGACATGAACTACGAGGGGCTCGCTTCTGGCCACAATGTGGCCGCAAGTATATGTCTTCAAATGGCATATACTTGACTTATTTCTACTGCAGACACACAGGCACGCGAATGAATGGAAAGCTGAAAAATTGCAAAACATTTCTCCGCGAGAGGGATCCGATCTACAAAGTCCCCCTTACCGTGCCATCCAGGACTCGTCGTGTTATCCACTGCGCCATCCGATCCGTTTGCGGTGGCGGTGAAGGGTTTGCTGACAAAAACATACTCTTGCGTCGGTGCATGCCAGGTGTGTTACCATATGATACTTACATTTTGACGTTAATCGAACCTATTCTGAGGCCTAACCAGTGACCACCTCATAAACTATGCATGCTCGAAGTTACAAGCAGAAAGGAGCCCTTTAAGGTTGTTAAGTCCGCCCATTCTTGTCAAATTCTTTTCACTCCGTTTTTGACATACCCAGAAACGCATAGCAAAAATGAAACCCATTTTTGTGACCCTTGTATGGACCCCTACAACAAGCAACAAACCATTTCCAAAAAGCGCGTCATGACCTGAAACACCTCCCTTGTTAGGCCGCGTTCATAGCTTGCGACCGTGTAGAAATGCAGAGTAGACGAGCCGTAAATAAATCTGGGTGCACACCAAAGACATCATCTCACGACAGCAGCGTCGAAGTTGCATGCACAAGGCACGTATGTGTTGTGGTTGCTATCGTACGAGCATTTTTTGGACGTTTTGGGCGAAGAATAGCATGGATATCGATCTGGCACCGACACATACACTATGATTTTGCCCAAAACGGTAGCTTTCCGCCGATAAGTTTCAAAACCCTAGGTCGATAGCTAACGTTCCTTCCGCCCGAAACGCTCAAACGCAGACGAGAATTATGAGCGCAGCTCACCGCAACCTTGTCCAAGTAGCTTTGCCTTGATTCTCGATTGAATAAAAATCTGTTTAGGTTTTGAAAACAACACACTGCATCGGAATGAGAAAGTTTTCGCCTTCCACGAGGAACGAATGTTGTTGCATATCAGAAGTTTTTCTCCTCATTTCAGCATCGCTCCTCGAATGGCTCGATTAGTTGAGGTTTCATTTGCGAGCTTATTTGTGGCGGTTCAGTAGCGGTTTTGTAGATTGCAGACGAGACGAATAGTCCAACCGTTTATCTTGGTTATACAAGCATAGGGTTTGGGGCTACGCCCACGCCTCGAAGTGTTGGACCCGGGGATTAGGGGGAGGGAGTCATGGCCATCGTGGCGATGACAGAGCTGAGTATGTATCTCGTACTCGTATTCTGTATTTTGTTACAAAAACTATGCATGTCATCATTCCTCGTATCGCACGAAACCAACAGGAAGCAAGCAGGCACTGATAAACACAAGACAAGGAGGCTATTCTGTTATCAGAACCATGTCTAAGAATGTGGCTAACTGAAACCACTACTTGAACATGGAAAGAAGCAGGGCATTAATCACAGCATCGCATTCATTTTTTTCATTAATCATAATCAACGCATTCAAGCATTAAGCAGGGCGTTGCGTGACCTGTGAAGAAGAAAACATGCAAAACTATTTTGTTGTACCATTTTAATCGATTTCGCGCAGGTCGTGACACTTCCATCTGGAAAATGCTTCAGCAAGACGCCTTAGTAATGTGTAAAGACTCCGCCGCAGTGCTAGAAATTCTGACCCAACGCGGACTATTTTTGATGAGTGCCGTTGAAACCCAGTTTTACAAGTACATTTATAAATAGAAAAATGATTTATTGGAGCATCCAACGGACCTATGCTTCTTACGAGCACTGCTCCATGCAATCGTTCTAATCACATGCAATAGTTCTAATCCTCTGATATCCTTAGCATCGCAATAACTACGTTTCCCAAGCGATTTCTACGCTGTTGTCGTGAGATACTGTGTGTGCATCCAGATTTATTACGGCTCATTTGGGATACGGTGTACAATTGTTTGCCTACTGAAGTTACCGTACTGTAACAAATGCAGAAATGCAGAAACTGCGGAGGTGCGGAAAGTGCGGAAACTGCAGAAATGACGAAAAGCATTGCAGATTCCGCACTTCTGCACTTCCCGCGCTTCTGCAGTTTCCGCATTTCTGCATTTCTTCAAATCGATATGTATACAATGTTCGTCATTTCCGCATTTCTTCATGGTCGCAAGCTATGAACGCGGCCTTACGGAGTTCTCAATGAGTTTCTTTTCTCCGAAATTTCTTTTCTGGAGAGTTGTTTAGCGACGAAAAGTCGTAACTGAACCACACTCCATAGTACCCAATTCGGGCTTGTTTTTAATAACGTTACTCCAAAACTTCATCTCATTTCTTTTGAAATTGTTCGGTGTAAACACAGGATGGACACTCTACTAGGGACATCTAGATAAATCGGACGTTCGAAGTATAATGAGAAACGCCAATTTTGGGACTCACCTTCACTCTTTTCTAGTGTTCTCTTCGAGGCAGTCCCTTGAACACTGCCGCTCCCAGTGCACGCTGTTGCGACGCATAGAGGGATCCACGCAGTATCCTGTTTGTCCCACATTTGACCATGTTTATCCCCTATTTTTTCTTTTATCTTTTTTTTTGTCTTTTATCTGACTTCCGTAGTGAGAATCGTGGACGTATGTCCACTCTTTGATGCGCTCTCAAATCCCTGTTTACTGACACGGTTCATTTTTCAGGGTAGAATGTTGGTGTTGTTTGAAACAGCGGCAGGATATGCCATGTTTAAGTTATTGAGCGACAAAAAAATGAAAAACGTCGATAATATATATGAAGAGTTCAGCACGGCAGAAAAAGCACAGGAAAAGTGAGTAAAACCTTGAAAATTTTTTAGAACGGTGAATGATAACGTCATGATCCCTTTAGTTTGCAATTGGTTGCCTTCAAGAAATTCAAAAGCACAGCTGAAGCAGTTGAAAGTGCATGTGCTCTGCATGAAGGAAAAATGAACAAAACCTTAAAAAAATTGCTCAAAGGAAAAGTCGGCGAAAATGAGCAACTTGCCGTGGGTGACACAAAATTAGGCAATTTGATCAAGGTAAGCCAATTTACTTCATTTTTCTTTATTTTTGTGCCTATATTTCTCGCTTTTTCATATTTTAATATGCTACTTTATATACTAGGCTCCGTATCCTTAATAATACTGTGACCTGTCTGTTCAGTCATCCTGCTCATTTCCTATGTGCCCATTTCCTTTCCGTTTTTGACCGGCTGCATCATTGAACATCATCGAACATCGAAAATGAAAGCTGCTTGGGATTTAACTGGTTGACACTTTGGATGCTGTTTTGTGCAGTCGGAAAAAATATCTGTAGAGAGCCGCAAACTTTTTCAATCATTATAAACTCTATTCGTACTTCTTGTTGAAGTATAGAGTAAGACATGTGGGATCAGTAACAAGAAGTGGCATCGTATCCAGATTTAAAACTTATTTACAACCAATTTTGCTAATTACCCAACATTCATAAGTGAAACTGGCGCGGTTTATGGACGTGTGGGGGGAGCATTTGCACTACCATTGCTTCCCTAGTTCCGGTTTGCAAATCTAATCCTAGTAAAACTTGCTCCACCTTGTGAAGGTGGAGCAAGATCGTCTAGCCACCATCCTAAAACATGTCAACTCAAGTAAAAGCTACCTAGATGGGTCGGCACATCTATGGAAAGCAGAATGTGCCCCCCCCCCCCGTCGACAAACTGCGCCGTAAAACTTTAGGATTGCGCTTCGACTTCCTATCTCGTACTGTTTGCTCATCTCCTCGGTACTTTTATGAAAAAAAACATCCTTGTTTTATTTGGGGAAAGCTGTTATTGCAGACATCTCTGGCTGGGAAAAATTTATGTAGAAGCTAACAGTTGAAGGGGTTTATCCCTCGGATTTCAGTGTCGTCCTTATACGGAATCCACGAAAGTTGCGGAAAGCAAGTATTTGGTCCGTGATCGACCAGAAATAGCCAATCACTGGAATACTCGCATAGCGGCAGAAAATGTAAAGCCATAGCGGAAACTACGAAGTGAACTAGGTAGCGGAAATTACGAAGTGAACTAGGAAGGTTTTATTGAAGCATTCCAACTTCTATGCCATGTACAGCCAATGTATCAGTATGGCGACAAGATACGCCATGTCACAATTGCGAAGCTGCGAGGTCACACTCCGCCACAATCTACTGAATTTATCCGCTGAAATGTCAATGCTGTTTTATGATAGAAGCGGTTGACACACCAGGGAGTCTTATCTCGCTCAAGCTCGAATTCAACTCTACTGGGTTATATGGTGGGAGCTAGATACGTAACCCCCGCAGGCACTGGTCAGGGTCAAATCTCAACCGTTTATTGCCGTGTTCAGCCACTCTATGCTACGTGGCCAATTAAAATGGAAGTGCCGTTATTTCGTTGCGTACCATACAGCTTCTATCATTTCCCGGTATGGCAACATGAATTTACGAAGCCTGCCCCCCCCCCCACCAGGAAATGTGCTGGTTTCATAATCCATTTTAATTGGAAAATCGGTGGAAACATTCCTTTATTACACCAATCCTCAAGAAGGAGCCTTCATCCTGTCCCGAAAACTATCTCCTGTCAGCATAACATCCTTGTTCTGCAGACTCTTTGAGAAAATACTAAAAACCATATCAAGCGTCATCTCCATCTAAACCATATCATCTCCAATCATCAAAATGGATTTGTTTCCGGTCGCTCTGTTGAAACCAATATGATTGAATGTCTAAATGACTGGACCGAGGCACTTGATAATAAGTATTCTTGTGACGTTATATATTTTGACTTTGCGAAAGCATTCGATAGAGTCTCACATAAGAAGCTCATCTTGAGATTAAAGTTCTTGGGTTCCATCTATTCTCATTCAATGTGGATATCGGAATATCTCTTCGGCAGAACTTTCCAGGTCAAAATAGAGGAATGCTACTCCAACGTTAAACAGGTGCTAAGTGGAGTCCCCAAGGTGGTGTCCTATCACCTGTTCTTTTTAACATATTCACGGCGAACTTCCTGGTATACTCAGAGAAGCTGGAGTCATAGCTGAAGTATATGCTGATGACTTGAAAATTTATAAGACGATCTCGCATGATACGGACTACCTGGTCGTGCAAAAAGCCATAGATGCAACTGTCGACTGGTCCAAGAGATGGCAATTAGCTATAGCTCCACAGAAAACAGTTTACATGAAACTTAGCTCCGGAAACGTTCAGCCGTCGCCCCCTTACTCTGTAAATGGAATCCTACTCTCTGCTACTCAATCTGTTCAGAGATCTCGGTTCCTACTACAATGGTAGATTAGATTTTTCGGAGCATATCAAAAGGAGGTACTAGAGCTCACTCACGTATTACGTCGTCATCCTTGCACTTGATAGTCAATGTCAGTGCGGCTGCGTGCGGCGCGGTCGTCAGCACCCGTACTGCACCAATCGTTGAACCAGAGAGTGACATTACTGTATTATATCCTTCGTGTTACTCGTTTTCTATCACTTTTTGTCGCATAAGCGTTTAACGAAAAGGCTGAGAAGGCTTCAAACAGTGTGCACGCTCCTTCTCGCCGACACGCCCCTATCAAGTGCAAGGATGACGACTGTATATCACATTTTCAAAGGGCTATCCACTACAAACCCATAAGTGTTGTTGCGTGCTTATAAGACCTATGTTAGACCCTTAGTAGAATTTAGTTCAACGGTATTCAAGCCTACGAAAAAGAAGCACATTTACGCGCTTGAGAGGGTACAAAATAGCTTCACTCATAAATTAATGATTAGAGCTAGTAACATTGTCTACTCAGAAATGCCGAATGCCCCAAACAGGAATAAATTACTACCATTATCAACTCTGGAGTCTAGACGGAATGTTTTCGGTCTTTGTTTAGTTCACAAGCTAATTAAAAGGGCACATGGTTCCGGTTCCAGTCATGTCTTCAGAATGGTTAATTCGAACACTAGAGGTGGTCCCATGAAAATCTATTTGTCTAAACCTAAAACTAATTTACGTGCCAAAAGTTTTACCTTCAGGGCGGGCAGTTCGTGTTTGAAATTGACAAGCCATACCTAGCGTTCTGTCACATGCTCAGTTCAGACACCGTATTTCCAAAAGGTTGTTAAGGTATGGTGGGTCTAGCTCTCTCGGGACTGGTCGATAAATTAGTGTTCTGCTGGTTAATCAGTGTTATCAAACAACTGATATCAATATTTGAACTTGTATACGCAATGGGTTATGTTCTCTTTTTCTCACGTATGCCTTATGCACACGTAATAAACTTACTTACCTACTTACTTACTCCACATGTTCATACTTTTGTCGGCACAATATTGAAACGATTCCTATACTTTAATTCAGTTACACAGTAAAATATGTCTAAAGTCCTGCTCACTGCGGCAAAAAAGATGCCACTATTCGATGAAAAGGTGATGTTGATGTGCTCTACTCACTAGTGAAGGTCGACAGATCGGAATGTTCATTTGAAATGAGACGTAGCACACAAGACATGGTTTTGGACGCTGGTCTTGAATCTGCTCTTGAAATTTGCAGAACGATTCTCTAAACGGAGTTATTAGGCTGTTTCCTCCAGTTCACCAAGCAACAGGTCATGGGATCGTGTTTGCCTCTTGGAGAAACATGGCAGAAAGTGGTTGTAGCGTCACTACTACATGTGCTCTCCTAAACTTGCCTGAAAAAGAGTTTACATAATTATCTCTTAACTGAATGTGTAACAACAATGTGAAACCCCAAAAGTTATTCCAAAAAAAAACGCAAAAGACAGTGAAAGTCTCAAAAATTTGTTATAATATATCTTAACTTGTAATATTTCGGTACGCAGTACACACACAACACGTAGCATAATTTGCCAGCTCAGGGGAATAGTTTATCTGGTGGAGTGTCAAGATTGCGGACAAAAATATTTGGGAGAAACTGGGAGGCTCTTCTATAAAAGGATCGACGAAAACCGGAGAGCGCTGGAGAATCCATCTTCCTACCCAAATAGCAGTTTCTCCAGGCGTCGCACACATGAACACGCTCACCAGGACCCCGCCCCCTTCATTAACCATCACAGTGCTACACCGCTCAGTGGAGAACACAGTGGAAAGGAAAATATTAGAGGCTCTGGAAATAAAACGGCTGTCACCAGAAAAAACAACAGGGAGGAGCTACGTGACATCATGCAAGTGATAATGTAATCGCGCCACAAGTATCCCACTTCATATTTAAGAGCATGGTTGGGGTGGGTTGATCATTTATTTCGGGACAACTGGTAAGTGGCTTGGTGGGGGTGGGGTCCGTGCGGGTTGCACTTTGTAGAAGGTATAACCAACAGAACAAGCTAAATATTTTCAGGCCTGACGAAGGTGCTACGCACCGAAATATTGCAAGTTAAGATATACCAGTCGGATCGGCCGGCTTCGCCGGCCGATCCTCCTTCCGCGTGTGAAGTGGGTCCCTGTGAGAAGTTTTCCATGTGAGGGAGGGCCAGTCGGATCGGCCGGCTTCGCCGGCCGAATGGTCGAAAGAAATATCATTTTGAGAATTATCGCACTTTACCGTTTCACTTCTAGTATATACCCCCCCTAGTAGACAGCCATCAAAATTTTCTATGCGGCACTGCAAACTATTGCCGACGGTACCAACCATTTGGTATACTCCCTATGATTATCCCCTTACTATGTTCATCTGCCATACCACTGCTTAGTTTCAGCTCACTCCCCATTTCGTGGGGTTTTTTCGGATGCGTTTCGAGGGTTTTCGTCCTCGACATCGTCCACTTCGGCGAACGCTCCGCCCATCACGGGTGTGCTTCATTAATTCCGTCCGCCAACTGATTGCCTATCGTTTGCCACTTCTCCCACTCTCCCAGCTTTTTTGGAACGCAACTACGAATTTTTGAAAGTTTCGTAGCAGGCACCGCTTACCTACAGAACGCCCTGCACAGAATGGGTGTGTTTCATTAATTCCGTCCGCGAATCTGATTGCCTATCATTTGCCACTTTTTCCGCTCTCGGGGCTCTTTTGGAACCGAACTGGGAATTTTTAGAAATCTCGAAGCAAGCACCGCCCTTCTGTAGAACGCCCCGCCCAAAATGGGTTTGTTCCAGTCATTTCGTCCGCGAACTAATTGCCTATCGTTTGCCACTTTTCTCCGCTCTCGGGCTTTTTTGGAACCGAACTACGAATTTTTGAAATATGAAGCTCACAACTATGCGCACGCGCCGCCCACAGTGGGCGGGGCTTAGCCTACTTCACGTGTGTTTCGTACATCTTGGCCCATGCCCTACCCATCCCAACCTTGACCGCCCCCTCGAGACTGGCTCTTCAGGTAGTTCCGAATTTCCGGACAGACAGACAAACAGACAGACAGACAGACAGACAGACAGACGTCGCCGTTTATATATAGTAGGATTATAACAAACTTTTGAGACTTTCAGTGTCTTTTGAGTTTTTTGGAATAAACTTTTGGAGTTTCACATTGTTGTTACACACTCAGCTAAGAAATGAGGCTATGGGACAGCACCAACTCCATTAATTATCTCTGCGCCTGGGTACTCTGTGAATGGAAGAAGATCTGGATGCACCAGTGCCGTGTCGCACAACTACCTCTAGGTACAAGTTTCTAGCAAAATCTGACATTTTGCCCTGATTTCGGAAAGAGGAGCATCCATGGGGTGCAGTTCAATTCATGTTTACACCTCTCCAGTTACAGGAACTTTCTCCTATACGAAACCGCATCTTGCCATTCAGGCTGGCCTTAGAATCTCAGGTAACCATCATTCCGCTAACTGCTGCCTCGCTTTTTCGAAGTTCGGTCGAAATCTTACATTTCGTTGGAAATCTGTCCCCTGGAGTAGTTTTGCTTCCCAATATGACATCCCTTTGGAGCGGAAACACTTGTGGCTGCGCTACGGGCACCTGCTCGAATGTTTGTTGTCGGACGCAGGAGCACAATTCTCAGGAGTACCTAGTCACTGAATGGATTCGTGAAATGTGGTCAAATAAACGCTTGGAAGCGTTTTGTTATGATAACTGCTGTTTAACGCCACAGTCGCTTTCCGAATGTTATCACAAGAATGCTGAGTTAAGGGCAAAAGTCGTGCCCTAGGCGGGAGTCGAACCCGCCCCTCACGCTTTGCTGGCGAGTGCGCTATCCGTTCTGCCACCAGGGCCGCTTTTACCCTCTCAGCTTGACGGCTTTTACGCTGTAGCCTTACAGCACTCACATGCACTCATAAAAGGCGTTAAGCTGAGAGGGTAAAAGCGGCCCTGGTGGCGTAACGGATAGCGCACCCGCCCGGGAAGCGTGAGATACGGGTTCGACTCCCGCCTGGGGCACGACTTTTGCCCACAACAGCATTCTAGCGATAGCTTGAACGTGTTTTCTAGGCTCGAAAGAGACATCCTTCACAAAGTGAAACTTGCCTGTGAAGCAAGACTTATACCTGTGCACCATACTGCCGCTAGCAATCATGCGCTTCGCCGTTATTCATACAAACTGACTGGCAACCGCGCTTGACACCATGGCGCTGCATTCAAATAAACCTTCATAACACCGTTCAGAGAATTGTTCAATTTCAAAGGCAAATTCGAGATCAGCGTCTTAAAACACGTTCAGTGATCCATGTCTCACTAGAAATGGCTAGTTCGACGTGGCGGCCATCACTAGTCAGCTTTTCCAAAGTAGGCTCGCAAAAAGTAAGAACTCTTGTTATATGAGTTTGAAGATGAATCATTCTTCTCTATTTTGTTTAGTGATTCAGCAACGTGTGGGTACTAATCCCGGATCGTTTAGGAAAAGTTGGATGTTCCATGTGTACATTCCCCTGCGGTGGCTGAACTCATGCGAAGTATTCGTGCCAACATTGAGTCATTACTAGATGAACACAAAACAGAGTTAAACGCCATGAATTTGGCCGTAGCTCATTCTCTGGGAAGGTACAAAGTAAAGTTCAATCCTGAAAAGATAGACACTATGATCGTACAGGTATGTAATAATCATCAAGAATTAGTTTAAAGTTTGAATTGCTGTTCTTTTCCTCAGGCAGTTTCTCTTCTGGACGACTTAGACAAAGAGTTGAATAATTACGTAATGAGATGCCGAGAATGGTACGGATGGCATTTCCCGGAGTTGGGGAAAATTATTCAAGATCATCAAGCTTTTGCAAAGGTCAATTATCCTTTTATTCTGATTCATTTCCGTGGTAGACCTTTGTTATTTTTTATTTCCTTTCTTTACAGGTAATTAAAGCCGTTGGTATGCGACAAAATGCTGTAAACGTTGATCTTTCTGCCATTCTCCCCGAAGAACTCGAAGCGAAGTTGAAAGAGGAGGCTGAAATCTCGATGGGCACGGACATCTCTGAACTGGATCTCATACATATCAGTGGCTTGTGTGATCAGATAATCGAACTATCTCAGTACAGGTATAGATCGTGTTTCATTTGCTGCTCTGATTTCCACTAAAGTCTAACCCAGCATTTTCCTGTGAAGGGCACAGCTCTTTGACTACCTCAAAAACCGAATGACTGCTCTGGCGCCCAATCTAACGTGCCTTCTCGGTGAACTTGTTGGCGCTCGGCTCATCTCGCATGCCGGATCTCTCGTTTCCTTAGCTAAGGCACCTGCATCTACTGTTCAAATTCTTGGTGCTGAGAAGGTGAGCTTGGTTCTCCTCTCACCATCTTTGGCGTCGACGGACCAGATTTCAGGCTCTGTTTCGTGCCCTAAAAACCAAAAAGGATACTCCTAAATATGGTCTCATATATCACGCTCAGCTGATCACGCAAGCTCCTGCCAAACTGAAAGGAAAGGTGATTTTAGCTGTTTATCACCTAAGGGAACTGCTAGCTGTGTTTCGCTACATATTCTTTCTTTGTCACCATTATTTCATCAGCTAAAATTTCTGTACTCTTTTATTTGATCTTTCCTCAGATGGCTCGCAAACTTGCCGCGAAATGTGCTCTCGCAACACGAATCGACGCTTTAGCAGATGAATCGAAAGGACCTGAAGTGGGAATGGAATGCCGAGCTGGTCTCGAAGCTGTTCTTCGCGGAGAGCTAGAGCGTGGACCGAAGAGAATAAGTGGTGCTTCCCATAAGCATGAAAAGTACCACTTCAAGAGGTACGGAAAACTTTGCTTCACTCGTTCGGTTTCTAATTATATTTATATATTATATTTATTATTTATAATTATATTTATATTTAAATTGTATTTATAGCGAAACATTTGAATATGACGCCACTAATGATGCTCCCAAGAAGCCTGTTAAGCGGCGGTTCGGAGATGATGATCAAGAGCCGTCATCGAAAAGGGTTAAGGTAAATTTGAATTTCGTCTTATGTCAGGTTTTTTCTTAAGGTCCTGAAATCACCTCTGATTGTTTGTAGGTAGAAGAGGTTGAGGAAGCCGAAGAGGCTGTAGCTGTTCCCAAATCAGAGAAGAAGAAAAAGAAGAAAGAAAAGAAGGTCAAACAAGAAGAAGAGGAGGAGGAATAAGTTTGTTTGATGTACTGTTTTTGCTCACTATGTTATTATTTTGTTGTTATGAGCCGCTGAGTTGGGATCTTGCTTGTGTTGTTCACAGTTGTTGTTGTTGACTATTGTTACTTCATTATTGGGATTTTCCAAGTTCGCTTTCGCACTGTGTATTCGAAGACCTATAAAGCATGAGTAATGAATGGATCATCATTCTCTTCACTTACCTGTTTCTATTTCAAATTCTAGCCGAAACACAATGCATGCGTGACATGTGCGAAGCATCGTTTTTGTATATGTCCTCATCGGAAATGACAAGTGAACTCATTTTATCACGGAAAATTGATAGTTATGATATTTGTATCTCTTCTGATGAGTGCAGATTACTTCGTAGAGTGCTGTTTATCAAGTCCTCATCTGAATCCTCTACTGAGTGTCGGCTGTCTTGAATAGTACTGTTGTGTGAGTTGGTTGTACTGAACAGTGAATGTCGGTCGCTTCGAAGAGTGCCGTTAGATATATCGTCATCATCCAAATCGACTGCATGAAACTGTGATATCTGAAACAAACGTTGTCCCGCAGAGGAACGGGAGATGGCACGATTCGGGGACTTGGGGAGAGGGGCATTTCGCACTTTCGCTGCTTCACTGTTCCGGTTCGTAAGTCTCACTTTGGTAAAACCTGTGAACTCTTGTTGAGCTGGAGCGGCTCGACAAGTCATCATGGTAAAACTTGTTAACTCTTGCAAGATCACGTAATGGCTCTCTAGCTGGATCGACCGGCGATGAGAAATAGCAAAAGTGCCAAATGCCTCCCGCCTCCTCTGTCGCCGGACTGCTCCATGAGATTATTACCTTATTCACAATTTAAGTACTTCATTGGAAACAATGGTAATTTTCCTTGGTAGTTGCCCTTTCTCATAGAAATTAGTTTTCGCAAGTTATCGCGTGTACACTAACCAGGGAGGTCGTTCAGGACGTGGTGGGGTCACGTGTATGGAGTGCCATACTGATGTTCATTTTTCCTGAACGCCTTTGGGAATACCAAAAAAGGAGCGAAAAAGAAGTCCATGGAAACCGACTGTTTTTGAGCCTCAGTGGGCTCTGAATCACTTGCAAGTTTGACCAGTTGCTGAGTGGAGGGTCCTTATAAAGCTACTACAGGAATCGAGGAGGAAAATAGTCACAGATGGGGTCTTACTTGAGGCACGTGTTCGAAATTGAGCGGCTCGTGGAAATAGTTTCTTCAACGATCGGAGCGGTGTTCAGCTACAATGATTGGATGGCCTAGTGGATAGCGTGGAGGATTCTCAATCGCATTTTTTTTAATGTTCCGCTGTTCTCGCTTCCATATATGTCTGTTTATGAATTTTACTCGGATGTCTACCGTTTATAGGCACATTCTAAATAGTTATACCCCATTAGTTGGTGCTGTTCAACAGTTCCGATTTTCACATACCATTAGGCAAGAACTTTTATGAAAGTTGATCTTTATATGTTATTCAGTGCCCTGATCACGACTATGGCGCATTTTCAGCTGTAGTGCCATTTATCGCCATTTTGGAGCCACTTCTTTTCCCCCACTGGAGTCGCTACGCTCGCTCATTTGGGGTACTTTTAGGGCCATTCTGACGCCAGATTGCATTGACGCCAAGAATAAGTGTCAGAATCGTGATCAGAACAATCGATTACCCCTATAGGCGTAATTTCGGCCAAATTTTTTCACTCCCTTGAGTTGTGATAGACCATTTGGTCGGCAATTATGACCGAAGTCTCACACCTTCGGAACAGTGATGACGTAACGGTGACTTGGCGGGCCGCCGGGCAGCCGTATCGCGGACTCAGTGCGCATAAGGTTCTTTCATGATTGACACAGGCCGGGGTATCCGCAGAATACGTGAAAAACCATCCTGGACATTTGTCGACAGCTAGCGACTGCTCGCTCAACTGACTAGTGGGATGTCGTCCTCCCCTACCGACAAAAAAGACTCGTCCAAATTTTGCCACTTTTTCAAATGCACTTGGATGATTGATAACCTCCTTCTTCTTTCTATGAATTTTATCGTTTTTGTCAGTTTTATGTTTCTGTACCGCTGAATGGGATGGTTTCAGTAACGAGGAAAGTACGACTTCTACAGAATGACACTGGGGCATAATCCAATACACAAACCCAAGAAAGTCAAAAAAATTGTTTTTGGCCGGCAGTTCGTCCATAGGAGTAATCGATGGTCCTGATCACGACTCTGACATTTATTCTTGGTGTCAACGCCATCTGGCGTCAGAATGGCCCTAAAAGTCCCTCAAATGAGTGTGCGTAGCGACTCCAGTGGGGGAAAGAAGTGGCTCCAAAATGGCGATAAATGGCACTACAGCTGAAAGTAAATGCGCCATAGTCGTGATCAGAGCACTGAATAACATATAAAGATCAACTTTCAGAAAAGTTCTTGCCTAATGGTATGTGAAAATCAGAATTGCTGAATAGCGCCGACTTGGGTTATAACTGTTTAGAATGTGCCTATAAATGGTAGATATCCGAGTAAAATTCATATATGGAAGCGAGAACAGCGGAGCATAAAAAATGCAAAAACTCGCACGCCGAGGGGAGTCGAACCATGAACCCCCACCCTCATTGTCCGATTGAGAATCCACGCTACCCTCTAGGCCTTCGATCGCTGTAGCTGAACACCGCTCCAATAGTTGAAGAAACCATTCCGACGAGCCACTCAGAGCCGCTCACTTTTAATCATGTGCCTCAAGTAAGACCCCATTTGCGACTATTTTCCTCCTCGATTCCTATAGTACCTTTATAAGGACCCTCCAGTCAGCAACTGATCAAAGTTGCAAGTGATTTAGAGCCCACTGAGGCTCAAAACAGTCGGTTTCCATGGACTTCTTTTTCACTCCTTTTTTGGAATTCCCTGAGGCATTCAGGAAAAATGAACATCAGTATGGCACTCCATACACGTGACCCTACATCATGCAAAAAACCGTTTTTAAAAAGCGCTCCACGTCCTGAACGACCCCCCCCCCCTTGGTAAGTGAAGGGCCTACCAGTTTGCTAGGCTGCTTTATACTTTACGGTAACGTCCTCCAGCGAGCATCAGCGCTTCCAGCGTCCGTCAGCATCAGCGACTAGGAAAGCATATATCGATCTAGCAACCATCAGCGTCTCGAGGGACTGGGTTGGTATGGATATCGATCGAGGGTCTACCAGCGAACATTAGCTTCCAGGAGCACGGTGTTGCGTAGTAGTGGGGTGTGGTTGCACGCTTTCTCCATACCTGCAGTCTGCTAACCCTATATCCCTGCACTGCTCCTGGTGCTACTGAACGGTGGTGGATGCTGGATCGATATCAATACTCCTAATTCTTGATTGGGGAAACATTTTACAAAACTCCCTCAGTTTTACAAACCCTTTCCTCATGATTTTCTCCCTTGACTCTTCTCCATCTCATCCTTCCATCTTCCTGATTTCTCCCCAATCTTCTATCAATTTCCCCATGTTGTTTTCCCGGAATTTTCCAATTTTCAGGACAAGTCTCTCGCAAGGTCAAGACACAATCAACCCCTAACAAGGGAATGGTTTGAAATTCCCATGGAACTTTGAATGGAGACCTAGGTATATCGATAGAGCCTCGAATGCTGATTACGAATATGCAGATTAAAAGTGCTCTGCTGATCGACGCGTCGGCAGTGCCACCGTGGCCTCGTGGTAAGGGTCTCGCTTTCAAGTCAAACGCATGCGGGTTTGCATCCGGATGGCGCAAAAATTTTTGCTTCGCTCCCTTTAAGAGCTTCAACTCCAATTTTCGAAATTCTTCCCAATTTATGGCCTAGCAGGGCAAGTAGGTCAAGTACTTTAAGTATATGACGTATTGATCTAGTATGGATTTGATCATATCTGCCCTCTCTGAACATATTGCCCATCCGACAATTCAAAGTTTTGCCCAGAATCGCAATTTGGCCAGACGAGCGTTTTCTCGTCGAAGAAAGTGATATTCGTGTTCAGGAAGTCGAAATCTCCCATGAACGAATTTCTCGCTAAAACTTTGAATTGTTCGGATGGGTAATATGTCCAGAGAGGGCAGATATGACCACATCCATACTAGATCGAGTATGTCGTATACTTGATGTACTTGATCTACTTGTCTGCTGGGCCGTAAACTCGGAAGAATTTCGAAAATTAGAGTTGAAGCTCTTATACGGAGCGAAGCAAAAACTTTCGCGCCAACCGGATGCAAACCCGCATGCGTTTGACTTGAAAGCGAGACGATTACCACGAGGCCACGGTGGCACTGCCGAGGTATCGATCAGCAGCGCTTACGAGCCAGGCTCAAACGTTGACCACTCAGATCTCGTCTGGGAGGTCCCCGTAGCACTTTTAATCTGCATATTCGTAATCAGCATTCGAGGCTCTATCGATGTACCTAGGCCTCCATTCAAAGTTCCATGGGAAGTTCAAACCATTCCCTTGTAAGTGGTATATCTCACCGCGATGACGGCAAATATGTCTAACCAGCGGGATCACCCAGCTACCGCCGGGTGCTCCTCCATCTGTTTCACAGCCCGGCTTCGCCAGGCACTATTCCCTTTGGCGAGGTAAAATGCGCTAAATGTGCCAAATGGTGGAGCTGTTTATTTAGCTCAACATCAATCATTATATACCAACATCTGGTCCCTCTTGCTTACCACAAACTTCCAACCGTGAGAAGTCGCGACATCAGAATGGGTAAAGTTGGATGAGTCCTCAACACCCGGAAGAGACTAATCGCAGTCACGGATGGCACTGAAAAGGTGAACTGACACTATCCCCCCCTCCCCCGCTCGACACATTGCATGAAAGCAGATACTTCGATGGACGCCTTGTTTCTGTTGCCATCGAAGAAAAGAGCACTCACTGAGCTTCTAATACTCGGTCTTCTTCTTCAGCGTTTGTCCCGCCTGATGGCGGGGTCCGCTCTT